ACTACAAAACCTGTTTTCATGTGGCTATAGCACTGTTTTTCTTATATGAGAAGCAAAAATTAAACAATTTGTTTTTTTTCGGGGGAGATTAGTATGATGGGTGAACCCAGCCAATATGTTATGCATGAAGATATGTTTGAGATCAAGACAGCTATCAAAGAAATGAATGAAAAGGCTTTGGGGGGGGGTGACCCTTCAATCATGCATTTCTGCTTGCTTATCTCCTTTTATTTAACTTAAGTGCTAACAAAGTTTAGGCTACAAGATTAAATATCAGTCTAGGTTTTTTTGATACTCTTGCTCAAATTTTTGATAATAACCCTTGAAATGGTTAATTGATACCGCTAATAAAACATCAGCATGCAAAGACATTTCTCTTTCCCTGTCCTATATCCCTGTCCTATATCCCACTTACTGACATCATTTCTATGCTAAAGGTATTAATATGAAAGTGGTGGAAGATGAGAAGGCCATAGAAGATGAGAAAGCTATAGAAGAAGAGAAGGCCATAGAAGATGAGAAGGCCATGATGGAATCAGAGCGGGAGTTTGACTTAGATATTATTGGAATTGTATTTCAAGATGAAATTTCCTATCGACTCCGATTTCCTACCTACAGATCAGTTACACCACACAAAGATCTTGCTGATATAGGTAATTCAAGATGGCTGTGTGTTTCATTCTAGATATTCATATGTCTATAGAAGTGTTTTTCATCCTTGGCAACTTTATACTGTGAGGACTTCAACTCCCAGAATTCTGCTCAGCATAAGTGGCTGCGGAATTCTGGGAGTTGAACTCCATACATTTTAAAAGTTGCTCAAATTGAAAAATCCATGTAAATGTAGCATCATTTATTTATTTATTTGTTTGTTTGTTTGTTTGTTTGTTTATTTATTTATTTATTTGATTTGCCAATTGTTTACAAGATAAGTATAAGTGTATACATAGTTGTGAATACATGAAATGGGTACATATGGGTATCATATGTTCTTATGCTATCATATATTTACATATTTACATATAGTATGTGTATGTATATATATATGCACTTTCAACATGGTGTATAACATTTCATTTTTAGAATTACAGTATAATTTTCATTTACAGGGATATACATACACATATGTGCAGATTTTAAGGGACACTATTTTCATGCTTATTTATTGGAGATGAAACAATGCAATTTGTGTTACCAATTCAGGGTATCAACCCTCAGAAGACCAGCATGGGACAGAACAAAATCCTGTTTTCTCCTAATTCTTTATGTGTGGGAATGAGTGAGAAACAAATCATGCTCTTATTTGTGAGATGATTCTGGTATATTAGAAAAGCAATGAACAAGATCATACCAAGCCAGCAAACTAAGGGTCCGTTGTATCTGAAGAAATTTGATTGTGTGTGTGTGTTTTTTTAAATAGTGTCTAAAGTGTATCCTGTTGGTATTGTTAAGTAGGTATCAGTTTGTTTGATCTGAGCTGATTTATTCTTGATATATGAAGCCCTAAACAAATCTAGGGGATTGGTTTGTTTGGAAGGGCTGCATGGTTTGGGAGCATATGGAGCATATGAAAAAGCTTGGAATGTGTCCATGTAGTCACCATGGATCTTGGGGGTGGAGGGGAAGAAACACTAAAGAAATAAAAAAAAGGAAAAAGAGAATGACTGCAGGAGAGAAACTATAAGTCCTGTTTGGTTAAGTTTTAGGGTTAAGATTAGGATTCATTATCCAACAGAAAGAAGAGGAAGTGGTGCAAAAAAGAGAAATAAATCAAGACAGATAGTAGTTACTTGGAACGCAGTAAGGAGTTATGTTACAAAGTACTAGAGATATGTTTGCAGTTATGGTAACTGGGAGTTTGAAAGAGTATTTAGTGGAATGACACTGTGAAGGAACCTGTGAGTTAAAAAAAATACATACAAGAGAAAGGCTTGCTAAATCAGTGGTGGAATCCAAATTTCTTTACTACCGGTTCTGTGGGCATGGCTTGGTGGGCATGGCAGGGGAAGGATGTGGTTAGAATGTAGTATTGTGGGCTAATTCTGCTCACTGCCAGGTGTTTGATCCTCACCAGGCTCAAGGTTGACTCAGCCTTCCACCCTTCTGAGGTCGGTAAAATGAGGACCCAGATTGTTGGGGGCAATGTGCTGACTTTGTAAACCACTTAGAAAGGGCTGTAAAGCACTATGAAGCAGTATATAAGTCTAAGTGCTATTGCTATACTGTAAAATCTCAGAAGTGGTATTTGCCAGTTCTCCAAACTACTCAAAATATCTACTACTGGTTCTCCAGAACTGGTCAGAACCTGCTGAATAGCACCTCTGACTTACTTACATTTATGGCCTCCTCTGCAGGAAAGCAGACAACAAATTTCCTGAAACACAAAGTGGTAATACTACAAAAATGAGGATGAGGGAAAGATACTGTGTAATCTTTAAAGAGAAGAAACAAACATTGCAAAGAATATAGAGACAGAAAACAGGACATAGTTATGATTATAATAGGCAGCGACTCTATCAGCAAGATCTGAGATTGGGTGGCTTATAAAACTTGCACCAAATATGTGGCATTTTAATATTTCATGTTCCCTCAGTGTGGTGCATTATTTCATCATCATCATCATCATCATCATCATCATGGTTTTATCTATTTTTGTATGTCACATTGAGTTGCTTTGTGGTTAGTTGGATTATTAATTGAAATAATGATGATAATAATAATGTGCAAATACTGATTAGAAGGAAGGGGCTAGCTTGTTGTCTGTGGCAAGGAATGAATCTTTGTCAAAGGAAGTAAAAATAGCTAAGAACACATTTCTGTCCGCCTTGTTAAATGAAAGTGGAGTTGTACATGTCAGGAAAAACATAAAAGTAAATTGAATGTGGTCATATGTAATATATTTACAGTGGACCATATTGCTTTTATTATACAGGACCATCCTGTTTTAGAAATTTATTCCTTAGATTAATTTGATTTAATTATTTATTTTCTTGGTTCGCTCTTGAATTTTCCTTTGTAAAGCCAAGTTATACATAGAAATATTAATTTTCTTTATATTTATGGACCTCTTTCAGATTTGCTTTTTCAGGATTGTCCTTTATTTTTTCCAAGAAAATATGGTCATGTAATATATCTGACCCAGTTCAATAATGACAGCACTTAACTTAGAGTCTTCAAATCAAGAAATAATTTGAATGGAAATAAGAATTAGAAGCAGCTCCCATTTTCTTCTTGACTTTAGATAGGAGGATGTATTACACTGAGTATTGTTTAAGATGTCAGCGAGTTATATTGCCCTATTCTTATGTAAGATAATTTTGGTCAGCTCCAGTACTTCAAGTGCCTGAGAAGTCAGTGAAGTTGGTAAAAAGTGAAGTAAATTTCTTCCGTCTCTTTGCTCTTAGAAGAAAGGGAAACTCGATGCTTCTCAAACTTTTCTGATGGGCTGTTTTCTTCAAGGCCTCTGTGCAGTGAATCATTTTTCCTGGAGATTGTCCAGTCCATTAAAATCCCAACTTTTTCCCAATTAATAGAAACTGTTAAGTTATAAGATTGTACATATAATATTATAAAAGTCTGTTTCTCCCCTTTTTTGTAGATACGTGTTTCAACTTTTCCTCAATTGATTGTAAAACTCCGAAGTATTGGACTCAAGGCTTTATCTCACTGCAATCTAGCATCGACAGCGCACTTATTGAAGTAAGTGGATAAGCCTTACTTTTACCTGCAGCAGTGGCAGTGGCATTTTCTCAGTTTGGTTTGAATGACTTCTCTGTTCCTTTAATTTTTGTTTGCAGTTTTATATATTTTAATAAATCTGGCTGCTGTTTATCCTACACACTGCCTCTGGATCTCCCTGGGCTGTAGAACAGAGATCATTCTAATCATTCTGATCTAATCATGCTTTCCTTTTTCTAATTATGTCCTTTTCTTGATTTCAGTATTAGATCATTGTTAGCTTCCTGTATCAGATCAACAATTTTTTATACACACATACACAAACACACACACACTTTTAAGTAATTCAATTGTTTTTTTCCCCTTTATAATGTAATAGTCCAGGTGGCATGCTAAATCACCTATAGAATAAGTAATTTCAAAAATGTTTTTGTCTTTTCTTTTAGAGGATCACCAATCACTCTGTTTGGGAAGAAATGACTTCTATTAATGGCATCCGTATGAAATCACCTTCTATTACAATAGGATCTGAATTAGCAAATAGTGTGTTCCTTTGGACTTTATCACTGTGTTTTGCTCCATTTATGTATTTCTTGGCACTAACAGTTTCAAGAGAGAAAAGGAAATTAAAGGAGGTGATGAAGACAATGGGACTACGAGATGCAGCATTCTGGTGAGCTATGAAATTGGCTGTAGTCTCCTTTTCTCAGATGGATCCAGCAGGTTTTTATGAGAAAAAAAGAGGATGAATCCATGCCAGCCAGAAAACTCAACAGAGAATTTAACGAAGCTCTGATCCTGGAGCTGGTGCAGGAAATAGTAGCTCCATGTTAGGTTCTATTTCCTTTAGACCTCTACACGCTTATGTGACTGATGGCGTCACCACTCAGGTCCTTGTTTCTTCTTTATATAAATGGCTGTTTTGGCCAGCCGTTATGCAACTTAGTTAAATACAGTATAACTAAATATTCACATTTGCAATTTTACAAAATACTTTGGTAAATTACCCAACTTTGAAAGGCACCACAATCACACATACATCATACTGTGTTTGTTTCTGGTTTTTATCCTAAACAGTATTATTTATTTACTGAAATAGCTGTATTCTACCCATTTTAAACCTCAAGGTTGCTTACTTTTCCACAAAAGTTTCAACTCTTTAAACATAAAGGCATTATAAATAATAAAATCTGTGTATAAGTCAAATCTACCACTGTTAGCAGTCATATATTTAAGGGGAAAAATAGTAGAGCCTTCTTGAAGATCAATAAGTTGAGGGTACCATTACCTCAAGCAAGATATTCCCCAAATGGGGCACCCTCAGGGAAAGATCATTGTTAGGACCTTTACCTTACATAGGGTAAGGATCTCCAATATTGGTCAGAAGAGAAGGTATTGCAGGCATTAGAGAGGGTAACTTCAACTTATGAATTTATGATGAATTGGATCCTCTCATAGTTGTGGCTCATTGGATATAATGAAGTTTACAGTTGGCTCACCTCCTCTTCTGGGTGAGCATTTCTGTTTAAAATTCTCTCTTTTGACTCACCTATTCTTTTCTGTATTTTATGCAACTAACTCTACCCAAGAGTTTGCTAACATTCCCTGCTGCTTCTAATTCTGCTTCTACCTCTTTTAATTGCTCAAAGATAGCTCTGCATCCACTAAGTAGACTCTCAAGTGGAACAGATGCTTTTTTAAAAATCCTCTTGAGCATTTCTCTATACTGTTGCACATTTCTTTATGTGCTTCTAAAAACTCAAACAATGCTACTGTGGGCAGATGCACCTTAAAGCATTTTTTTCCCATGGACTACTACCCTCCAGTTTAAATATCCAATATCCCCAACTTGGAGCAAATGTCTTTGGGGTGTATTTAAAAACCTCTGCAGGTATTTTTTTAGGGATGGGGTTGGAAGAGGCATAATGTCACTAGGGTCTACTCCAAAACTGGATCCTCTGTTCATTTTAGAAAACTGCTTCTAAATTTATCATTTATCACTTGGACCAATTTTGGCAAGACCAGAAGTCAAACTCAATAGCATTTTAGATTGATTTTACGACACAGCTCTGCTTTCTTAAATGAAAATTAGCTATGGAGAAAAATGGAAAGGGTATAAAAATAAAAAGACATTTGAGCTAAAAGGACT